CAATTTCATACTGGCAAGCAGTAATTAAATACTATTTAATATATAAAACAAGTAAGAAACTATTATAGTCGGGCGTGGCTGACCATATGATACCCATCACCAATTGGTAATATTAAATGTGATTCATTTTCAATAATAAATCATTTATGTTGAATCTTACATAGGTTCCAAATAATGTCTGTTCATGTACGGTTGTATGCTAATTTCAACAGCCTTCGTCATTGGATCCAGAGAAGAGTATGTAACAAATTTTAACAAATTATTTGAAAATTGCCAGCTGTAGCGTGCACACAAGGTTACACGGTCACAAAGACGGACATAGCTTAATCGAATCCGAAAGTGATTCTGAACCGACTGGTATACTTAAGGACACATATTTTTGAATGTTACAAACATCAGCACATTGTACCAAATTTTGGATAGATAGTAGTATATTAGACGTAGTTAAGAGATAAAGACCCAAATTGGAAGGCTCGGTTGTATGGGGGCTAGGGCAGAAATTTAGCCTATCCTTATATAATATACTGTTGGGAATTAAGTTTATATAAAAGTTATTTGTGCAAAATTTCATCGTGATACCATGGACATTCAAGTCATTCTCTGAAGGTGGCTTTGTATGGGGGCTAGGGCTAAATGAGGCCCGATCATTACTTAAATTGACAGTGTTATTTAGGATTATATCAAACTAAATTATGTTTTTGGATAGATAGTAGTATTTTAGACGTAGTTAAAAGATAAAAGGCCCAAATCAAATTATCTCAAAAATTTCGACACACAAGGTTTACATCGACACACAGACAGACGGATTAAAAAAGACAGACAGACAGACGGGCATATCTTAAACGACTCAGTGATTCTGAGCCGATTGGTATACTTTAAGGTGGGTGTAGGACCAATATTTTTGGGTGTTACAAACATCAGCACAAACGCATAATACCCTCCCCACTATAGTGGTGTAGAGTATAATTAATAAAATTACGGTGATGATTTACGTTCAGTAGAAATTTCTTGATTGAGAAGTCAATATGACTGTATAGTTCAGACGTTGGCGCTAGTATTGTTCTGAGTACGAAGATTTTCGGCAATTTACATGTATACAGCACGATCGCATACGAATTTCTCAACAAGAGCGTCAAAAATACAAATATTTTATTTAGTTGCTTGACAGCATTCAACAAAGTAGGTTGATGTCGCTTTGTTTCAGAAATTGCAAACGCAATTTGAATAAACAGAAACACAACTTCAAAAACAAGAGCACAATTTTCAAAAACAACCTACACCTTAAATATTTTTCTAGAATGCATAACAATGAAAGTAAATAAGATCATTCTTATTTAATACTTTTTTGTACATTTTAATATGAAATGTTGTTTCTACGCGAAGAAATTATCATTCTTATGTCCATTGATTATTTTTAATCTTCAAAATTGAAAATAGCCAAATATTTTTTTTTTTCAGTGCAATTTCATTGAAAAAATACTAATAATGTGTGTGTAGTGGTAATTTTTTTCATCTGCTCTCTATACGCCGGTAAATGGTATAAATTAGTAGGTCATGATTCACCTTATCAAATGCTTTACTAAAATCTGTATACCGTGCTGGAATGGTGACAGAAGTGTTGAAACTTGGTGAGATAGTGTTTCTGTGACTATGCTCAAAAAGTTTAGAAATTCACATAATTTTGGCAATACCTCCATAATTTGTGGCCAGACAGAGAATGGTTAAAACGCATATGTTGTAATGTAAAATATAAAAGAGAACATAAATGAAAATATGTGTGCTTTGCACTGAAACAAAATTATAGTTTGTTACTTATTTTGTGTTAATTCATATTATTAGTATTATAAATGAATAACGGAAGTGAATGTATGTATGTGTTTTGATGTAAATATGTATTGATGCACAATTTTGATGTAAAATGTTTACATATGTTTTTAAAAGTATGTCTGGCATATGTAGTATGTAGTTGTATGTATGTGATGTATGTATGTATGTATGTATGTATGTATGTATGTATGTATGTATGTTGTATGTATGTATGTATGATGTATGTATGTATGTATGTACTGTTATGTATGTAGGATGTATGTATGTATGTATGTATGTATGTATGTAGGTATTTATGTATGTATGTATTATATTGTATGTATGTATGTATGTATGTATGTATGTATGTATGTATGTATGTATGTATGTAGTATGTATGTATGTGTATGTATGTATGTATGTATGTATGTATGTATGTAGTATGTAGTATGTATGTATGTATGTATGTATGTATGTATGTATGTATGAGAAAAAAAATCCCTTTTTCCCTACACCCACTTTTTATTTCCCTACATTTTTCCCTACACTACTTTTTTCCAAGTTTATCTTAAAAAAATACAAAAATAACATAAAAAACTAAAATATTAGCTCCGTTTTATAATATATGTACATATATACATATATATGTATTTTTTTTTTTAATTTTTTGAATGAAATTTCTAGAATTAAAATTTTTTTTCTGTTAATTTTACATAATACAAATCTTCCAAGCCTGACTCTTCAGTTAAGATTAAAAAAACAAGACAATTGATAGATTTATGGCAGTATCACGATTCGATGTTAAAAATTTATTTTATGTTTTTTAAGGTTTACTTTCGCGTTTACTTTTGCGGTTTACTTTTATAAATTTTTAGAACATTAAATCTATATGAAAGATTTTAGTATGTCGCATGTTTTGTAGACCTCAGTTCAAGAAACCCGAATTTTGGATTATGCCAGTCTTGTAGCGATATGTAGGTACATATATTGTAGAAATTACAAGCGGAATTTTTACTAACGATACACTTAAAACTGATTTCATTTTTAATTTTAAAGTTTAATACATGAAAGGGTATATTTTTAGTTGTTAAAAACTATGAAATTGAAAAATCCCTACAATTTGACAATAGTAAGAAATCTTTCCCTTTTTCCCTACACGTGAAATTTTTGAAAAAAGTCCCTACAAAAAGGGAAAAATCCCTACACTTGGCATCACTGGTGTGTATGTATTGGAGCCCTGCATGAGTAACTCTATTTGCTACACACAATGAGTGACTCATTGCTTTGCACTCAACTCATTGTTTGTTTAGAATAGTATTTACAAAGTTTTGTTATACTCAAACGCTGTGAGTACTATCAAGTGAATGTGCAACTACATTCAAATCGAGCGAGTAAACAATTTGTTTATGTTAAAACAATACAAAATAGATTGTTTGAATCGAATGAATCGATTCAAACTTTTTCTTGAATAAATGGTAAAAATTTTGAATGCTGTTAAAACTAGTTCCTGTGGCCCGAATTCGCTGAAATTTGGTAGTCTTGAGTACAATTGATGACAAGATAATATTATGTTCGAATATTTGAAATTAAGTTCGAAAATTCGAAGTTATGTTCGAAAAATTTTTTATGCTTTTAAATTATTCTTTGAGTCCAAAAAACTAATGTGTTGTTTCTAGATAACGAGCGAGTAGTTTGAGCACAAATTTTACTTGTATTTTGTTATTGTAACAAAAACAAAATACAAGTAAAATTTTAACTCAAACTACTCACACGTTATCTAGAAACAACACATAAAAAAAAATTTTTCGAAAATTCGAACTCATGTTCGAAAAAAATTTAAAGCTGATAAAACCAGTTTCCGTGGACCAAATTGGCTGAAATTTGGCAGTGTTAAGTACAGTTGATGACGCTACTATATTATCTTCGACTATTCGAAATTAAGTTCGAAAATTCGAAGTAATATTCAAAAAATCTGTTAATTTGTCGAACTTAAAAATTGTTTTGCTTTCACTCGATTCACTCACTGTATACTACTTGAATTGAATCACACAAACACTCTCATTACTTGTTTCGTTTGAATTGAGTATTGACTAACATTCCTTATTTTCAAATATACTATTCATTTCATTCATAAAACAATGAGTGAGTCAAACACAGTGTTTGAAAAAAATCAAATGTTTTAATTTATTATTTAAGTCACTCATGCAGGGCTCTAGTATGTATGTAATGTTTGTATGTATGTAATCGATACAATTTAGGCGATTAATTGCTTGAACAAATGAAAATACAAATATAATTATAATTATGAATAATTATATGTCTAATAAATCTTTCTATAAGAAGTATTGTAATGGCTTTTGGAAATATTCTCTGTGTATCTTTTCATAAAGAGAGCAACTGAATTAAATTGTTTTTGTTTTGTGTATAGTTTGTTTTTATGCTGAGAATATTTGTATTGCATGTGTATAAGTGAGAATATTAAAGTCTCCTAAAACAATAATTATGTCGTCAGGTGTAGATAGTTTTACAACGAGTTTTATCGCTGTAGAGTGACGTTCATATATGTCGATACTTGAAGCAGGAGGAATGTATGAGCAAGTGATAAAGATAGTCCTAAATTTAGTTTTAACACACGTTGCCATGTATTTAATATCTTGGACTTCATTAAGGATTATTTCTTCAGAAGGAAAAAGTGTTGATACTGCAATCAAAACTCCGCCACCTTTCCTTTCCAACTCTGTCACATCTATAAAATTGGAATTTACTGCACATTATTTCAGAATTGTGCATTTTCTTCTCAAGTTTATGTATATCGGAGCCATGTTTCAGTAAGGACTATGATGTTTTGCTCAATGTCAAAGCTTTGTAGGATAAATGACTTCAATTTGGTAAATTGACGAACAATTGTATCTTTGATCAAAAATTTGACTCGGTCAAAAATTGTTTCAGGAACCTGCTCTGTTACGGGCATTTATCTTATATATTTGGATATCATTATATACTTCCGTACCAAGTTTTTTTCTAATATGGACATTGTTGACCGTTATATCTTGAGCAAAACGGGTTGCAAATATCGTTTTTCTTTGAGAAATAGCTTTTATTGGGTATTTGATCATTAGATGGAATTTTATTCATTGACTACCATTGCGAAGGAGATACGGGAGGATACGAACAGGATGGAGCTAAGTTAGCGGTTAGATCAGATACAACGTTAGCGTAAGTTGCAATATTCGAGTAACATTGATTTGATTTGGAAAATCTAAAGTTGGAATTTGATTTTGACCAAAATTTGGAGTTTGGTTTAGATTTGAGGGTTGTGTAACGGCAAGCTTATTAGGAGCTGCAACATTAGAATCTTTAGGAGAAGTTGTTGATGCCTTAACAGTTCGTTTGCGTTTAGTTTTTGGAGAGGAAGCAAAATTATCTAAATTAGTGAATTTAGAGAAAAATTCACCATATTTAGTCAATTTTCCTTGTAAAATTCTTTCCTAATTTCTTCAAACTCGGTTTTATAACTTTTGAAGAAATTGTAAAATTCAATACCAATTATTCGGCAACTTGGACGGGTCCATTGAATATTTTTAGTTTTATCAGATAGTGCATCTCCATCAGGAGCTTTAACTCTTAATAGCCTGGTGGTACAGGTTTTTTATTCAAATCTACAGAAATTTTATTCATATAAACGATTTTTCTTCATGTTTAGTAATTTATTTTTTGTTAAAAAATTTTGTCGATTTAATCCGTTGATTTGAATAAATATCTTTATATTTACATCCAAAATTTTGTTAAATCAACAGAAATTTTGTTAAAACAGTGGTAAAATAGTAAAATCACAATTATTCAAATCTACATCTAAAATAGTTAATTTTACTCCCTTGAAGGGTGTAAATTTGAAGAATATATCGTTGATATGAATACAATTTTGCAAAAAACAGATAAAATAAAATACAAAGAAGAGAGAAATAATGAAATAGGGCTGTGGCTATGAAGAAATTTCGTTAATTTTAACTAAATTGCTTTTTTAATTTTAACTAAATCACTTTGTTAAAATTGAAGATATTTTTTCAATATAGCTAAAGGTATGTATAAATATATCGCAATATACAAGAAAAAATTAGGCAGAATAGTTGAAAATGTGTAACGAAAACTAGTTTATATTATTGCAAATTGTGGTTCCCTTTAAAGTGCTTGTGTTGTCAAATAAATATATTAAAATAAAATTAAATTAAAAGAAAATTTTATTGAACAAAATATAAATAAATGTAAACGTATAAATATTGTGCTTATATAAATAATAATTTAATATAAAGTTAAGCCAAAGTTAAAAGCCATTGGAGTGCCACAAAAATTGTCGACTACACGATGCACAGTGGTATAGGAAAAAAAAAGAGGGAAATAAATCGGTAACTTCTAAACGGTTAATCCGATTTTAATGAAATTTGGTATGCACAAAGAGGAGGTGTTGTCGAGTTTTTGGACCTTATAGGCCAACCAGGGGCCTGGCGGGGGGTCCTCAAATTAGGACACCTCGGCTATGTTAAATTTTTAAATTATCTCTTATAGTTTAGGAGATATTCGCATTTGAAAATTAAAATGTTAAAATTTTTATCGTCCTTACTTTAGTTTTTTGATAATAGCGGGTCCAAATATTCCCGATTTTCGCAATTTTTTTTTATTCGCTTAACAACAAGTTTATATATCAAGCAGTGAAAGAATTCTGTAAAAATCATGACTGAGTCCAAAGTTATAGGCATTTTAATTTAAAAAATTAAAAAAGGCGATTTTTTGCCATTTTTTTGAGAAAAAAGTATCTTTTTCTTTTTAAGTTATCTAAAAAGTTTGTAAGAAGATGTATATAGAATTTATACTTTTTGGAAAGCTGACTTTACATAAAATACGATAAATGAAACAAAACCTAAACATTTTTGATACCGAGGGGACCAGGTCTATCCAAAAAACCCTATTTTTTATGGAAAATTCAATTTTGAGCAAAAATTCTCAAATCGCATAGTCGATATCAAATTATAGTGAACTGTTTTATATGACCCAATATGTTCTTAATCATTTTGTAACGGGTTTCGATAACCCCGCCCCTGGTATGGATATAATAGACAAAAAACCAAAAAATCCCATTTTTGGGATTTTTTAAAACTTTTTTGGGAATTCCGGAATTTCTAATAAGAAAATTCGAAATTTTTACTTAATTTTGGATTTTGAGTAAAAAAATCTACCTAACTGTAAAATTTCATCAAAAACTATTCATAAATAAAATTTTTATTGCAATTTGAAAATTTTATATCTTCGCAAAAACTGAATAAAAAACATTTTTTAATTTTTTTTTAAGTTTTGAAAAATAGACAAAATTACCTTTCTGACAAATTAATTAGGGAAAACTCAACATCTTTTAGAAAATTTACCTAGCACTATTATTTTCATCCATAAGGTTAACTCTTAAATTTGTTACATATATTAAAAAATGTTCAGGTATTATTTTTTAAACTGTAATGATTTTTACCCCTATAGGTCACTTTAATAGGTAGCTTATTAAAGTGACCTATTGAGGAAAAATTCATTACATAAGGAAACGTTAGATATATTAGGTAGAATATCATAACCCTTTAAAAAATAATTTAATTTAAGTACCTGTAATTAATATATAAGACAGGTTTATTATTTGTAATTTTCTAACCATGGCGATCGTACTAAAAAAATGATTTGTGCTCCATTTTATTTGAACACTCTTCAGATCCTTTTCAAGAAAAAGTCAACATCTTATTGAAATATATTGAAACAGCACATAAAAATAAAGTGGATAAAACTGATATATGTAAAATTGAAAATTTTATAAAATCAGTTGATATAAAACTGAAGAGTGTTAGTTATTCCATTGCTAAATTTCGATCGAAATTTTCTGATTGGCTGGATGAATGTGTAGAAGTTCCTATTTGCGTATCAACTGTTGGTGCTCCCTGTAAGCAGTATGAGGATTTGAGCTCAAAATCAAAGAGGAAAAGGTTATCAACTTCACTAGAAACCTTATCTAACGAAGAAGTTTCGGACACTTTTAAAGCAATGTTAAGAAAAGAAAAACAGCCTTTGGATGCCATAAAAATTGCAAATATTCTTCCAACCGCATCACCAAGACGACTGAAAAGAATTGTAAAGAGTATACCCACACCATCATCTGATACAACGTTCACTGAGGAAGAAGCTATTGCGCTTATGTTGCAGCTGGGATTAAGTCGTGATAACTACATAACGTTAAGAAAGGCGCTATCTGAAAAAGGAGTGGATGTATGATGTACACTTAATCTCAAAAATAAGTATACAGAAATACTGACAATTGGTTTTATTTAAAAAAGGATATTATTTTTTCAAAAATCAAAAAAGTAACACATTTATTAATTAAAAACAATTAAGATATTTATTATTCACTACTTTCTTCCGGGTTATTTTGGTTACTTGAGTTCTCATTTAAGATGTAGTTAAATAGGTGCAAAATTTACGTCACAAAAGTAAGTATACATATAATTTCAATATGTATTTGGCTTAATGATATTAACAAAATACATGAAAATTTTACCTGTTTGAATGTAACTATTTTATAATAAAAAATTCTGTACACTATAACATAGAAAAAATTCACTTTTTGTTCCGAAAAATTGAAATTTTTGGTAATTGATCTGAATATTATTTATAGCAGCATTTTTTCCTATTTAAGAACATCTGACTATTTAAACCCCCTGAGTTTTGGATCGGGTATTCAATAATATCCCTCGATTGTTCATTATGATGCATTGGAAGACGACATTTTAACTTTTAAATTAATTTTTTCTTTACAATAATTGCAATCCATTGCGGAACATTGCCGTTTTTAACATAGTATAGCGTTCATATTCGATATTTAACGGCGATTTCCTAAAATTTATATCTTAAAATGCGATATTAATAATATTTGTACTAGTATCCATTAATTAAAACAATTTTTTTGGTTCCAATCATCCATTACACACTCCTAAATACTACCAATAATCGTCAAATGGTGACCATGTCAATAACTTACACTACATATCGGTTCTGAAATTGATTATTGTCCAAAATAGTACGATTTTTATATTAAATCAGGCTCAATTGGTGGTATGAATACGAATTGAACAATTTTGAACACGGATACATCTTAATTTGTTGCTAGAACAAATAAAATGTCCGATCCATAAAACATGGTTATTGTATCGAGCATATCAATATATGATTGGTAGTATTATTGTATGCTTTGGAAATCGGAGTATTTGGAAAACCTGTTTAAATTAAAGGAAATATATAGAGTTATCCAAATTTTAAAGTTTATGTTGTAAGTCTTAAGAAATCGGAGTTAAATTTCGGTTATTTAAGAACGTACTGTGTTCAAAATGGCCAAATCCATGCATATCGCATTAATTTCGAAATAACAACTCTTTTCAAAATTCTATTTCCAATGCATCATTTGGAGGGTTCAATGACCACCAGATCCAAAATTCGGGGTCTAAAGTGGAAAAAAAATCGTAGAAATGAGAAAAAACTGTTCTACTACTTAATTCCGGAGCCAATCGGCCCAAATTTCAAGATTTCGGAACTAAAAGTAGATTTTTTCCAAGTTATTGTGTAGAAAATATTTTATTAAAAAGTAATTATATTAATACAAGTAAAATTTTCATAAATTTTGATATCATTAAACCAAATATATACTGAAATGATCTGTATACTTACTTTTGTGACGTAAATTTTGCACCTTTTTAACTTCAGCTTAAATGAGAACTCAAAGAACCAAAATATGAAGAAAAAAAGTAGTGAATAATAATTATCATAATTGTTTTTAATAAATAAATGTGTTACTTTTTTGTTTTTTGAAAAAATAATATCTTTTTTTTTAAATAAAACAAATCGTCAGTATTTCTGTATACTTATTTTTGTGAGTAACTGTATATGACAAAATAAATGAAAAGAAGAAAAGCATTATACCATCTCCTATTGAAATAACTGATCGGAAGGCTGTTATTGGACTCGACGCTCTACTCGAAAATACTGCTTTAAGGATTGCTTCTGACTTTTCTTCAGACCAACTTAAAAAAATTAATTCTTGTGATCTTCAACTCATTTGTAAGTGGGGATGTGATGGATTATCAGCACTCTCGGAATATAAACAAATCAACACAATGAATCATCTTCTGAGTATAAAAGTGTACTTATGGCATCGCTAGTTCCATTAAGAATTCGAAAGTATGCTGACAGCGATTCTCCATCAACCAGTTTCGATGATATTTGGAAGAATTCGACTCCAGGATCCAAAGCTTTTTGTAGGCCAATAAGCTTTGAGTATATAAAGGAATCCAAAACAACAACGCAAGATTTGATAAATCGTATTGAAGCAGAAATTAAAAACTTGGA